TCGGTGAAAAATATCACTTCAATGGGACAAATTAGCCACTTATAATTCTTAAGGGCCATAACTGTAGGATTGAGGGATATTGAGGGCTCCTCTCAAAAAAGGTTATATATATATAATATTATTTTTATATATAAAGAACTATAAATATATATAATGCTTTATTTACTTTGCTTTAATTCCGCCATATGATAGATGAGGAATGGTGGTTTGGACAAGGGTAAGTACCCCAAAATCGCCCAAATGTGTCCCTACTTCAGCTTGGTGAGTTATTCTATGGGACCCACATGCAGAGAAATGGTGAGTCACCAATGACTTGGAATTCAAGCTACAGATATAAGTGCTGGTTGGTGGTTTGGAACATGTTTTATTTTCCATAGATTGGGAATGTCATCATCGCAACTGACTTTCATATTTTTCAGAGAGGTAGGGCTCAACCACCAACCATAGTGGGATTGAAACCAAAAACAAAAATGTGTCGTATATGTCGATAGGATTCGATAGGATTATAACCCAGCAAAATGGATAAACATGGAGGGTGGCTCAGATGGTGTGAATCGGGATGAGCCTTGGCAACAAATCAATAGATAGCCACCATCGGCGATTGTGATGCTCTTAAACCTTAGAATCTTTAGCAGGTGAACAATCACGAAGTTGATAGTAATGATTCCCTACTTTTTGTTTCAACCTGAATATATATATATATATACATATATATATATATGTACATAATATATATATATATATATATATATTATGTGTTTAATATGAGTGTTGTCAGCCTTCACCAGGATTATGCCTGCGCCCCGCATGGGGCGCCGCAATGTGTACCAAGGGTCCAACACAGGTGACATCATGGGCTTGGTGGCACTTTCTCGCATCAACGGCAGAGCTCGAGGGCATTGACGCGGCCAAGATTTGACCAAAGATTAGAAAGCGGAGCTGGCCATCGAAGGGCTAACAGAGTTAGTGCTTTACTGCTCATCATCAATCAACCATCATTTAATTCATTAGCTATATTCGCATATTCTTGGCAGTTAGCCATGTTAAAGCCCCTATCTATGATGGTTGAACCACCATATTAGTTACTGTAAATCCCATAGATTTTCATTGGTATGGTCAAATCCTATGAAATATCCATTAACAAAAAACATCGATGAACTCCAATGAATGAAATCCCTATATTCTTGCTAGTTACTTAAACATCTTTAAACCCCGAAAAAAAAACATGGTGACATCCCCAACAACTCGGATTTCGATGCCAGGTTGATCTGTTCAGATCTTTTGAAGCTGCAACAGACGGTCTCGGCTCGTGAGACCTCGGCAGTGCCAGAACTCAGGGCACCGAAATGGTGATGCGTTGGGACAAAAATGTGGGAAACATTGGTGAACAAATTGGCAACATATGGGAGAAAATGGAAAAAAACATGTTTGACATAATATTGACATATATCATTATAGGAAATGCTAGGAACCTATAGAAAATATTGAAAACATATGGGAACATATTGGGAAATAGAGGAAACTATTGGTAAAATGGTGGTCAATCATTGTTTGTTTGCTGTGATTTCAGTTTCTGGAGGGATGGTATATATGATATACCCACTTTATGATTATTTAATATATGGTACTGGGAGGGAAAATGACGATGTCAACCATCGCATTTTCACACTTTCATGGTAGTTTCAGGGATTAATTCCATAATGTCCAGTTTCAGGGAAAACAGTGTGCCATAATATGCCATAATATTCGGTCGTTTGAAGCACCAATCTCATTCCAGTGCCCGGTGCACGACGGCAGTGATCGGGAGCCTGACTATGAATTAGCTTTGGTCAAGGGTGAGACCCTGCGGCCCGAGGGGAAGAACAGCATTCTCTGTGCATTGAAAGCACACGCAATCATAGATGACCGGCAAGACGTCTTAAACGGGTGTTTTTATGCAGGAGTTCGCTGCTTCAAATCGGAAGGAAAGAGGGATAGAGAACTCACGTATCTCGCCCTGGTGGAGGACTGGATCAGACAGGAGGGTGTCCAAAGCATCGCTCTACAGCACCATTTTGGTACGGCCTGGTCATGGAGGCGTGTGAAGAGCAATTGCAGCACCTGCCGGCGCCGGAGAAGCAGGAGGGATATGCGGCCGTTTGCGTGCAGTTCAACATTGTACAATTATATCCAAATTATACATACATATATATATATATAACTGTAATATATGTACCATTCTATCCCTATAAAATAGCCATTACCATTACCTTCTATCCCTATAAAATAGCAATTACATCTCATGATCTACAATTCTATCCAGTTACAGTGTTAGCTCTTAACACTTATAACCTGCTAACTTACTTCATTTGAATGTTTAAGTCATATATAGGCAACCATTTGCAAGAATTCTCATCCCATGGCCACTGTCAAGGGCTACCCTCCTTTAAACTAACATAGATGCGGAAAACCAACCATTTGTAGATCATTTTCCCAACAAAAACCATGTTTTTTCCCGCATCTATGATCATTTTCCTAACAAAAACCATGCGTTTTTTCCGCATCCATGAAAACGTTTACCCCCGGGTAGGCTTGAAACTTTGAAATCCACCTGTTTTTTTTAACTGCAAGGCACTGCAGGTTCCGGAGCTGGCTCATGCATTCATGGATCTGAAGGCGGGGGATCATCCAGAATCATCCCGTGGATCGTAGGTGGTAAGAAATCAATGATACAACTGAACGGGGACTTACTAGGCTGATGAAGCACTAAGTCACTAAGTGGGATCCAAGAAGTAGTTGGGATATATGATAGATATATAGTTAAGGTTACTGGGTTTAGTTCAGCCACTTGGAAATGGGATAATCTACGAAATGGGGACTTAGTAACCACAGAGTTATCAACACATTTTGATTCTCGGCCTAATCCTCCACGTGCCCCCCCAGTTCTGAGGCTGTCCTGAAAATAGGGTACGCCCACAAGTGGCCATGAAAAAAAATGGGCTACCCTCTAGTAGTTTAACATTCTTATGGACATCACGATGTTTAGTTGGGAAATCATCCATAAATGGCTATTTTCTATAGCTATGTTAAAACACCAGAGGGTACCCTATTTTCAGACATAATACAAGGTGTGTATACAATAGCCAACTATATATATATAATGGGGCTTGTAGACCAACATAGCTATCACTTACCCAATCCTTTCATGGATTCTTCACTACATCACATAAGACATCTACTTACTGGTGCTTAGCAGGGAATGAAGGAATGATCAATGGCCATTTCAGGAACCTAAATTGGAGGTACCTACCATATATAAGGCCTATGTAAGGCCTATGTAAGGGAATATCCCCACAAAATATGGCCTTATATGGTACAGTACCTCCATTTTAGGATCCTGAAATTCCCATTGAAATGATCCACAACTATCAATAATAATCCCAGCAACCCCCATTCCCATCCATTCCCTGCGTTTAGCACCAGTAAGTCTATAAGTCAGAGGTTTTGAAACCAACAAAGACAACGATTTTGGAGCGGCACCGGGGCACCAGCAGGCCGCCTTGGAGAAGCAACGCCCCAAGCAGTTGGCCAAAGTCCTTCGCTCCACGGGCTGCCGCCCAGCTGAGTTGCAGGCGGATCTGGGCTGAGTTCGGTGGATGGTTGGGTGAGCAGTTGGGCTTATGTACCATATGTATATATATATATATATACTGTTACCTACTGTACATCCAATCATAGGGTGTGCTGTATATCATGTTATATCTATATGTAATAATACTATCCCATGATAAAGGCGTATGAAAGGCATGAAACGCAAGCATTTTGTGGGCCTACTCTTTGCCCTCGCAAGGAGGTGGAGGATGATGAGAAGCCAAAGGAGAGAATGAAACAAATGATCCTGGAACCTTGGATGCCGCCATGGGATGAGCCCAGCCACTCCTCTAGACCTGGTGGGTGAACAATATCCTGGTTTGTGGTTTGGAACATGAATTTTATGACTTTCCATATATTTGGAAAAATCATCCCAACTGACGAACTCATATTTTTCAGAGGGATTGAAACGACCAACCAGTATCACTTTAAATGGGATAAGTTAGCTATAGTTATAGTTACAACTCTGAAACGGGCCACGACTGTCGGGTTTTTTTCTTCAACATCAACTTCTGGAAGGGTAAACCCAGCTACATGTTTTTCTCCCCCTGGGTAAGTCTGGAGTGTAAAGGTTATGGGTTCTTAGCAATGGTGAAGCCCTTGGATATACAAACGTCCAAAAAGCCAAGGCGAATCATTTCTGGTTTCCGGTGGTTTGGATGTTTGACTGATTTTGGTCGACAGGCTTTGGATCGCTGCTTTCGCAGCCAGCTAAACGGGAAAGAACATCAAGGGACCCATGGAACTTTAGCAGTTCGGAATAGCCAAGTTGGTTTGAGATTAGGTATGATTAGATGAATTCCATGGTGTTTATGCAGAATTATGGGAGATTGTTTGATAGATAATATCATGGTAGTATATATGGCAGATATATCAATAGATAATGGAAACACCTCATTTGGTTGACATATGTTGATATGTTTAAACACCTGATTATATGATTGTCACAGAAAAAACACCAAAGATTAAAATATATGGTTTGATATATGTTTGCCATGATATCTACCAAAGATTATGGTTAATCACTACCAAACATTATGTTTGGTAGTGATTAACCATAATCTTTGGTAGATATCATGGTAGATATAATATGGTACAATGTGAGGCCCCCCAGTTATAAGTTGGTTTATAAGCCCCGGTAACTATATATAGTTATTTGTGTACCATAAACCATAGTTTATCTCGAGGTTGGTTCTCTGGTGGGCTTTGCCCGTGTGCCCGTGTGCCCGTGGATCAGGGTTGTGCCCGTGTGCCCGTGTGCCCGTGGATCGGGATTGTGCCCGTGTGCCCGTGGATCGGGGTTGTGCCCGGGTGCCCGTGTGCCGGGCCAGCGACAAGTCCAGAAGTTCAGAAGTGACACGCTGGCAGGCAGTTGCAATTGCAGGCAGTCCGTCCACTGTTAACGTCATCATTCGCCACCTCATCTTCCGCAGAATCATGATCCTCCACTGGATGTCCCGCAACATTGTTATTCTTGTCATCCCCCTTCTCAATCAACATTCCTCCTCAACATCACCATCTTCCTCCTTCTCCATGTCATGATCTTCGACCTTTTCATCCTCCACTTCAATCATCCTCATCATCCACAAAACAAAGGCATGCAGAACAAACATTATTTCACAGTGTTTTTTTTTTCGTTTTTCGAGTCTGAACATTATTTCAGAGTGTATTTTCTGACCAGAGCACTTGAATGCCCAGAATTGCATCCTTGCAGCCACCATGTTTGTATCGTGGAACAGCATCCTTTAAAAAAATCCAATGCAATTATTCCTTGGAATTCAGTGGATTCTGGCACGTCACATGGCTATCACGCCCCAACATAATCCTAGGACATGTTGTTCCACGTTGCGTTGCTATCAGTTTAGCTAGATTTCTATACATTGATTTGATATATGTACTAAATCCATTATATTACATTTGGAACATTGTTGGGTTCCATGCCCACAACGTGTGGAAAAGAGAGTGGATCTGCTTAAGAACAAATTCCCCCCCTGAATCAGATCGAGCTCTTATCCAGCGAGCGCTGTACTGCAGACTGTTCCCAGGCGTCTCTGAGTGCAAAGATCAGGTAGGATCGTGTCATCGCGGGGGCCAAATGGTCCAGTGCCAAAAATTGCAGGACAAGCAGTAGGACGACGGATTTCATGCTGAGATTTTTGCATTTTGCTGGATGTGTGTTGCTTAGATATTGTTAAAGACGTTTTTTTGAACTGTTTTTAGCTAAGGGTTGCTGCGAATCACCACTTGCTGAACTAAAAAATATATAGAGGGTTCCATATGAAGCTTTGGAATATGTTTAGGTTTGGCCGCAGACAGTTTGCACTTGCAAGCGTCTTCCCTGCAGAAACTTAGAGGGACTTCTACTTATCGATGTATCTTTTTGCCTATGTATCTATATGTCTGTGTGTCTGTCTTGCTATCTACCTACCTATGTATCTGTCTGTTTGGCTGTCTGTCTGTCTGTCTGTGTGCGAACCGGTTGCCGCAGCGTGAGACCATATCTGCATGATGAGCTCGTTGCCCGTCGTTGTAGACCTTGGTGTTTGTTTGATGGCGTGTCGCTGTCCTTGCCGTGTTGTTGCGTGCAGCGTAATGTTGTTGTTTGCCTTGATCTTAAGTCATTTCGTCATGCGTTGCTATGGCTCCGTGCACCGTAGATTCCTTTCTGCGGGCTCGCCGTTCTGCCGCCGCAGTGTTGTCATGATTCTGTCATGTTACCTGAGTTTCGTTGATTCCTGCGGCGTTGTTTGCGTGCAGCGTAATGTTGTTGTTTGCCTTGATCTTAAGTCATTTCGTCATGCGTTGCTATGGCTCCGTGCACCGTAGATTCCTTTCTGCGGGCTCGCCGTTCTGCCGCCGCAGTGTTGTCATGATTCTGTCATGTTACCTGAGTTTCGTTGATTCCTGCGGCGTTGTTTGCGTGCAGCGTAATGTTGTTGTTTGCCTTGATCTTAAGTCATTTCGTCCTGCGTTGCTATGGCTCCGTGCACCGTAGATTTCTTTCTACGGGCTCGCCGTTCTGCCGCCGCAGTGTTGTCATGATTCTGTCATGTTACCTGAGTTTCGTTGATTCCTGCGGCGTTGTTTGCGTGCAGCGTAATGTTGTTGTTTGCCTTGATCTTAAGTCATTTCGTCATGCGTTGCTATGGCTCCGTGCACCGTAGATTCCTTTCTGCGGGCTCGCCGTTCTGCCGCCGCAGTGTTGTCATGATTCTGTCATGTTACCTGAGTTTCGTTGATTCCTGCGGCGTTGTTTGCGTGCAGCGTAATGTTGTTGTTTGCCTTGATCTTAAGTCATTTCGTCATGCGTTGCTATGGCTCCGTGCACTGTAGATTCCTTTCTGCGGGCTCGCCGTTCTGCCGCCGCAGTGTTGTCATGATTCTGTCATGTTACCTGAGTTTCATTGATTCCTGCGCCCGTGTGGCCGTGGATTCCTCGTGTGCCCGTGTGCCCGTGGATTCCTCGTGTGCCCGTGTGCCCGTGGATTCCTCGTGTGCCCGTGTGCCCGGAGGCCCGTGAGCAGACCTATCTCGAGATTGGAGTTATAAACCAACTTAGCTATCTTAGGGGCCTCACATTGTAGATAATGAGCTGTTTTATCTTTTAAACGAAGATTTCACTGGGGGGCCCGGGGCCCGATGTGACGTGGATCGATGATCATCGATCTCGAGGATTTGGCCCGCGAAGTTCTCAACGAATTCCACGGCATGACTGCAGGGCGGGTGTGCGGGCATTTGGTGCTGATATTTTATGCAGTTAAGGCCCGAAATATCAGTTATACATAGTTTATTTCTATGGGAATTTCTATGGGGTTGTTATAATTCCATAAATGGAGCATTTCATTGACTTATAACTGGTATTTCGGGCTATCACTTAGTGTGGATTCCCATAGAGTTTTGCCGCCCTTAAATATGTGATGGCCACGGGATGAAATAACTCCTGCAACTAGTTGGTTAATGTTGGTTATATATCACTTAAATTAAATGGGGGTAAGTTAGCCGGTTATAACTGTCAAGGGCCATGGCTTCAAGGTACTTTCCCACCATTTTTTGCGGAGGGATTAGATTGTGAGCGGCTACTAGAGCTTATTAGTGGCTAAACATAGCTGAACGCTGCTCCAACTTCGGCATGTTCATCCTTCAAATTGATTTCTGGGTTCATCCAAGAATTCACTAAAGTGGTGACAAATGGCGAGTGTTTTTGGTATTTCCAAACACCGTGCACGCTGAGATATCTCAAGCACTATCTATAGACACTAAATTTAGCCTGTCATGGTTTGACAGATTTCCATGTTTTCAGCCCAGTGTCGCTGCTATCATTCTCTGATGCCATTACCTTACCCATCTTAATGCAGGTAGTCAGCACGTATACTGTACATCAAATTTCACGAGCTCCTGGGATTCTGTGATTTTTAGGGAATATTGGATATCAAGGTCAAGATGCAATATTTGGTGCAGTGTACGCGCACAAGGGTGGCACCAAAAAACTTAAGCGTCATGGTTTGCACGGGTTTGCACTGGATCAGCCTTCCATAAATGGAATTGGTCCAATTAATCGTTCAGAAAAAATGAAATGGTCGGAAACAGTCGGAAACGGTCGGAAACGGTCGGAAACGGTCGGAAACGGTCGGAAATGCTGATCCAGTGCAAACCCGTGCAGACCATGACGCTTATAAGTCTTTTGGTGCCACCCTTGTGCGCGTACACTGCACCAAATATTGCATCTTGACCTTGATATCCAATATTCCCTAAAAATCACAAAATCCCAGGAGCTCGTGAAATTTGATTATTTATAAATCGTATATATATATATATATAATATACAGATGATCAAGGATGTGCTTTCAGTGTGATCGTCCAACCCAATCACCGTTTCTCTCTCATCTCTTGAATCTCCATGTCGATGATGGCGAGGCGCCCACAAGTGAAGGTCTCTGTCCTCGCATCCACTGGGAAGAAAGAGACGGAGTTCCAAAAGCGACTCACAACAAAGCTCGTGGATAAAAAAGGCGACAAGGTCTTGAAAGACCTTCGAGGTGAGAGATTCAATGTTCCAAAACTGATCACCACCTTGGAGGAGGGGTCGGAGGTGGATTGGTGGCCTTGGCAGGAGGTGGGGGAAGAGATGGTGCCTCTGGCCTGGCACAGGCACCCTGAGGGGTACTGGTGGCTTAGGTTGCCTGGAGGAGGTAAAGTCCTGTGGCACAGGCATCTGTGGATGGACAAGAATGGGAGCAGGTTGGTAAAGGGGGAGGAAGTCCACCACTTTGATCATAGGGGCGAATTTGGTGGCCCCGATCTTCTGGCAAATTTCCTAGATCATTACGGTCTACATGTCCATCGTCGTTGCCGTCAAGGGTCTTCCAAGTGGCAAGGATGGCCACTCCTTGATTGATATGGACCTAAGTCCAATTTCACTATATATATATATATATATATATTTACCTATTATATACATACATCGCCAGGGTTTCTATTTAAGTTAATTTTCAGGGAAATAGTTCAAAGATATACCAGTAGTACCGCACAAGGCGGTGGCGGAAGTTTCAAAAATAGGAAACCTATAGGAGAGGCTGGTTGTTGTGAATCACGGATGGCAGAGCGAAGCCACTAATGGACCGAAAGGTGGTTGAGGTCTCTCTCTCTCTTTCTCTCTCTTTCTCTGACTACCTATCTATCTAGCTATTTATCTATCTATCTATCTAGCTATCTAGCTATCTATCTATCTATCTGTCTATCTGTCTATCTGTCTATCTGTCTATCTGTCTATCTGTCTATCTGTCTATCTGTCTATCTGTCTATCTATCTGTCTATCTGTCTCTCTGTCTCTCTGTCTATCTGTCTACCTGTCTATCTGTCTACCTGTCTATCCATCTATCTATCTATCTATCTGTCTATCTGTCTACCTGTCTCTCTTTCATCTGTCTATCTGTCTATCTGTCTACCTGCCTATCTGTCTATCTGTCTATCTATCTATCTATCTATCTGTCTATCTGTCTACCTGTCTATCTGTGGTGCAGTGTCATTCAGTGTAGTGTAGTGTAATGTAGTGTAGTGTAGTGGAGTGTCGTGGAATGTAGTGTAGTGTAATGTAGTGTAGTGTAATTTAGTGGAGTGTAGTTGTAGGTGTAGTTGTAGTGTAGTGGAGTGTAGTGTAGTGTAATGTAGAGTAGTGGAAGGTAGTGTAGTGTAATGTAGTGTAGTGTAGTGTAATGTAGTGTAGTGTAATGTAGTGTAGTGGAGTGGAGTGTAGTGTAATGTGGTGTAGTGTAGTGTAATTGAGTGTAATTGAGTGCAGTGTAGCGTAGTGGAGTGTAGTGTAGTAGAATGTAGTGAAGGTGTAGTTGTAGTTGTAGTGTAATGTATTGGAGTGTAGTGTAGTGGTGGTTGTAATTGAAAATGCCACAAAACCCTCATGTTTTGCTCACTTTTGACAAGGTCCGCAATTCCTTGCGCCTGCCACGCGAAACGACATCTGAACCTCCAAAAATGGTCCGTACATGGTGTGCTTTGTACATTTTGACTTCGAAATGTGCTTCGCGCCACAACTGCGTGCACTTTTTCGACATCGCAACTCCCAAAAGTGGTCCGAACGTGGTGTGTTTTGTACATTTTGACTTGGAAATGTGCTTCGCGCCACAACAGCATGCACTTTTTCGACATCGCAACTTCCAAAAGTGCTTCGAGACCCAGGTGTTTTGTACATTTTGACTTGCAAATGTGCTTCGCGCCACAACGGCGTGCAATTTTTCATCTCTCATCTGGCCAGCTGGCTCGGCTCCGCACCCGCCGCTTTAGCGAGCCTACTTTTCGACCCTCCGGAGCCACAAATCATTGGAAAAACACAGTGTTTCGCGACTTTCCTACCTTTTCGCGCATCTGCATCTTCTTTCTTCTTACTCTTTCTCTTCTACTCTGCTTTCTTCTAATCTTTCTCTTCTCTCTGCCTCTTCCCTGCTCTGCTTTTCATCTGTCCATATTGTCGAAAGTTTGACTTCTAAACTTCCTTCGATCAATAAACTGTATATATCTAGGGTTTCTACTGGTTCTACCGGCTCGTTCTACTGGCTCCTTCCTGGGGATCCCTGGCGACCAGGAAGATGTCGGAGCTGAAGAACTTCGCGGTGGGCAACGGCGTGTCCTCCGTGGAGATCGAGGACTGCGCGGACGCGGAGATGCCCAAAGTCGTTCCGAGCTCAGCAGCCGTTCGGAGCTCGCCAGCTGGTTATACCCGGCCTGGCCATGGCTTGGGAAAACTACCCTCTGGCTATTGAAACTAACGGTTTGCTATGGAAAATCACAATTCTTTTCATGGGAAAATCCACTATAAATGATCATTTTCAATAGCTACTTTGTTACATAGCATTGAAAATGGCCATAGAAATAGTTGATTTTGCCATCAAACATGGTGATTTTCCATAGTTATGAAAACGTTTACCAGAGGGTAACCATGTTTTTTTTTTATACCAGACCCTAGGCTTCCTACAATGTGAGGCCCCGTTCGATAGCTAAGTTGGCGCCAATAACTCCAATAACTATGGTTTATGGTACGCAAATAACTATAGTTACTGGGGCTTATAAACCAACTTATAACTGGGGGGCCACATTGTAGTTACCTCTGTTTTTTGGTAAGGCCTCAGTTCTGGAACGATGGGAACTACAGTTGTGGCGAGGAAGCAGAATAACAATAACAATGGTATAATGGTATAATGGTATAATGGTATAATGGTATAATGGTATGTTGATAATGGTATAACCATTGACTATAACAATCATTAGCGTAAGAAATTAACGCTATCAATGTTTTTTTTTATATATTTATATGGTTGATTATAACATTATACCCATGGGTTTCATACCATAGTTTTTAACATTATATATCGAGCCGTGCAAAATAGCTGTCCACGATATAGTTGATGGAAAGATATGGGCAGTATAATAGCTGGACCACGTATAATTCAATTTATCTGGAAAATTAATTTGATTCCATCTCGTTTGTGGTTTGGAACATCTTTTATTTTTCCATATATTGGGAATAATCATCCCAACTGACTAATATTTTTCGGAGGGGTTGAAACCAACAACCAGTTATAACAATGGTATGATGGTATAACAAATGAATTTTGCATACAACAATGCTGATAATGATGTATAAACGGTATAAAACTTAAACGTATCGTTATCCAGTACTCAATGATAAACCATTGATAAAAATGGTATCCAATGATATCAATGATAAATGGCATACATGATATAATGATATATGGTATATTGTTAAAAATGAGCAGTGTTCAAAACCCTGGTTGGATGATGATTCGTTCGGGATTTTGTTCCACCCTTATATACCTGGGGATTTTAATAATCCAAGAACGGGGAATCCCGTTCTTAACCAACCAACCAATATAATGGAACGATAGAGGGGTTAAGTTTAACATAAATGGTATAAAACAAAAAAGTATGTCATCCATTTAAGGAGCTTTCCTTAAATAAGGCTACCCCAATAGCCGGATGGTTTATAAATGAAAATCCATTTAAACCATGGGTGATTCCCTCAGTTTGACAGAAATGGTGTAAACCATCAGACATGTGGTGATCATGTGGTGCTGTATCCTTGTTTGAACCACAGTATCATCCATTTTGGAACAGACCACTGATCTTTTGGAATAGCGAATCACCATGGAAATTTCAATCATGACAGCAATCAATAGCAAACTTCCGCTCGGAATACAGATGAACTATCAATCCCAAAATCTGGTATTTCAATCAAGTGAAATGGTTAAATCACCATTTTTGCCCCACGTTCAATGGTCCTTTGGAAACGTTTGGAACCCCGCCCTGAGGCGCTCACTAAGCTACTGCTCTCGCGAATGCCCTTCCACCCCTCGCAGTTTTCCTCCACGCCGCGGAATCCGCGCGCAGGTGCCAAATTTCGAGGGTTTTCCGGGTTTGGCACAGCGCAAATCTGAGTTTTTTTGGGGCAAATGGTGTTTTGTGATGAATTTCATTCGACTTGTTTTTGGTTTTCGACATGTTCTGATTGATGGATTTAAATTTGGATTGTCCACACTTCACTTGCTGCAACATAGATTTCGTATTATGTATTGGCTCCGTGTCAGCATGTTGCATTCCCTGCCCAAAAGAGGAACGCAACACAACGTGGCAAAGGCTTTGAATCTATGAAATACCAGTAAATAAAGATAAAAATCAACGATTTTGGATGTGAACACCAGGCGATTCCGTTTTGGTGAATTTGCGCAACGCGGAGGCGATGAAATCTTCTCCTTCAACATGGACCTGAACGACTCCGTGGAACCTTGGCTGTTGCCTTTCACCATTGTTTACCATGATGGGCCCATCATTTACCAATGGCCCATACAAGGTAAATGATAATGTTAAGATATGTATAGATGTATTAAATACATGGTAAATCATATCCCATTGTACCATAGTTTACCATCACTGGCCAAATTTCTCATGGAGCAAGGCTGGTTTCTGGTTTCGAAATTTGGCCAGCTGCCAGACATGAACTTATGGTTCTGCAAGCCTGGGAAGCTTCAGAAAATCCTGTCCTTCGACTTGAGATGAAATATATTACTATATACCCTGTGGTAAACTAACATAACTATGGAAAATCACCATATTTCATGGGGAAATCCACTATTTCTATGGCCATTTTCAATAGCTTTTTGTATGTTTACCAGAGGGTAGGTGGGACCACCCACCAAGAGCCAGGTTGGTTTGTAAAAATAACATACTGTAGGTCAACTCTTCTGGATGGTTTATGGATAAAAATGTGTATGGTAGATATCGAACTAGACAATGGGGTGAATCTAAACCAACATAACTGGGGGGGTCCACCTTGTGCAATGGAATAAAGATGGATTCTTTTGACAAATAGTGTACCCCATTGCATCCACCGGTTGATCATTGTCACTATTGTTTCATGGCCATATATTGGCAGGTGAACCCAAAGTAAAGTTGCCGGATGTTGCCGGTGCCACGTCCAAATTATATTATATCAAGCTTATTTTACATATCCAAGTTGTATCCCCATTACAGTACAACCCTGTTATGTTCTTCTCCGATACCATTTTTTGTTAATCATCCAAAATTCACCATCAATCCACCGCATTGCATATATCCATAGATCAAGTATAATGACCTCATGTCGTGACGTGACTGGAATGATGGGAGCGGTCATAATGAATGGAAACCATCTTTCAATGGCCCAACATGGCCCAACATTTCAGGTGAGTGAATTCATATTTCCAGATGGTGAACATCAAAATAGCTGGTGAAATGGACGTTCATCCCCTAATGCTTTTTATATGTATTGATCCATAGCCATATGTTCTTATTAAATTCCATGTTTATCATATATTTTACCCTCTGGTAAACTAACATAGCTATGGAAAATCACCATATTTAATGGGTAAATCCACTATTTCTATGGCCATTTTCAATAGCTTTTTGTATGTTTACCAGAGGGTACCCAGAGATCTGTGCCAATCCATTCCTCATCCCCGCCTCCTCAGGACACACCTGAGATTGACAAAATGTCCGAGATCGACAAGGCCTTTGTTCGAATGAAGGCCCTGGCGCGTTGTCGTTGTGTAAAAACCAAGGTGAAAAACATGCGATGAAAATACTCCAGTCACATCCAACTGATGTAATATTCATGGTGTATTATGCCATGTTATGCCCTAGAAGTGTTGGCCATGTTTGTTTGGGTATCCTTATATATATATGATTTTAACCATGCAGTAATCAAACCTAGCAATGGAACATCTTCCATTTAGAGTCAACTGTTTTCTGAATATACCAATCATTGCCCATCTATAGGAGAGGGTATAGTTAGTTCTAGTTTTAATGACATTAAATAGTCATATGTTATGCTGTATGTTATTTTATTATAGTATACCATACTATACTCTACTATGTTATGTTATATTATGTTTTGTTACATTATATTATTCTATTCTTTACTCTACTATACTATACTAAACTAAACTAAACTATACTACACTAGACTATGTTATGTTATGTTATTTTATTTTGTGTTATATAGATTGCATGATGAACTATGAACTGACACATCCCTGCAAGGTGGGGTCCACCCCCAGTTATGTTTGTCGGTCTATAAACACCATTAACTCTAGTTGTAAGAATCATAAACAGTAGTTATTGGAATTTGTGGCAAGAAGAATGGCAAGGCTGCTGAATGGCAAGAGGAAACGCACCACGATTCAAGCCATTGGGATGTTGGAGCCGCAACTCGTGACTTGCTGCGGGTGGGTGCTACAGCAACTCTCTTGGGAAAGACCAAGCTGGTGCAGCTGACTCGGCCCGAGATTGAGGACCTGGTGCACCCGACAACTAGGAACTTGAGCGAGAACCATGTCTGGGAAACTTTCCTCGTTGATTTGGTGGAATTACAAACCATTAGATAATTATGGTAACAATCCACCTATGGTTAATTGTAGATGCATGGCTGGGTCTGTCCATAGACCGGCCGACCCAGACCCCCAGTATTAATGTACGGATATAAACCATCGAATTCACCGGCTATTTAGGGGGACATCACTGCATCACCTAATAAATCTCATTAACCATTCTTATATTCTCCATACTCATTATTCAAATTTAATTTTAGTTTTTCTTTAACTCAACCATAAAACCTAGTTAACCTATAGTTGTAAACCAACCACCCCTGGGTATGTTCGCAGGTGGAGCTCGAAAAAATGAAGGTCACCGAGCTGAAACAGAGAGCCTTCATCTACGGGTGCACAGACGAGACGTCGGCGACCTCAGCAGTCCAAACATGGCATGCCGCATGCCCTCTTAAAATTTAATCATACCTGGTTGATAGTTTGGAACATTTTTCCCCACCTGCCAGGTGAGGGTTGTTAGATTTTATCACAGCTGTTCCGGCTCCTCCCTGTCCTCCTCCTCCTCCTCGTCCTCCTCCTTCTCCTCCACCACCTCTGCCTCCACTTCCACGTCCACTGCCGCCTTGCCAACTCTTCGCTCTTCACCAACTTCCGCGCGCAGTGGGCACTGCTGGACCTCAACTGCCGGCTTCCGATCTGAGTGGGCATGGCTGGACCTCAACCGCAAAGTTCTGAGCGCAGTGGGCACCGCTGGACCTCAACCAGGGACCTTCCGAGCCCAGTGGGCACCGCTGGACCTCCACCTGGGAGCTTCCGAGCTCAGTGGGCACCGCTGGACTTCAGCGGCCAGATGGAATGCCAAAATATATGCCAGAAAGACTGCCAGAATATATGCCAGATAGAACGCCAAAATATATACCAGATAAAATGCTGGAAGATATGCCAGATAGAATGGCAGAAAGTGTGCCAGAAGATATGCATGATAGAATACCAGAAAGAAGTTTTGCCAGATAAACGACCAGAAGATAGCGACACAGAATGCCAGAAGATACTCCAGATAGAATACAAGATCATGTCGAATAGAATTTTAGTGGATCATTCGAAGGAACGTCATTTGTGTTTCTTTGCTGGCATCTATGTGATCCGCACCATGATATGTCATGGTGGGGATCACTCGAAGTAAAGTAATTTATTTTCCATATATTGGGAATTTCATAATCCCAACTGACAAACGCATATTTTTCAAAGGGGTAGGCTCAACCACCAACCAGATACTGTGGATGGAAGAAATCCTGCCCCAGTTCGTAACTACTGGTAACTATGAAAAACTGTAACTCTTGGGATTACGATGGGATAAACTGACATACGGGTGTTCCATAAATGGGGAATCCCCAAAATGGTGGGTTTACAATGGAAACTACGATTAAAATGGATGATTTGTGGGGCACCCCTATTTTAGGAAATCTCCATATGGCTACGTTAAATCGCCCTTTCAGAAGAGGGAAACACTGCTGGTGGTGAGTTCAGTTGGGAGTGTTTGCTTCATGCAATTGACTGCTGCCGAGATGAAGACCAAGCTCGAGGTCGCTCCAGCGCAAAGTGTCTCTGGACACAGCATGACAACACAGTGAAGGAGTTAAAAAATTCTTTGACGGGATGCATGCTGGCAGCCTTGGTGCCGTCCGGCTACTTCGATGAAGCTGGGTCCCACCAGCTCATGGTGGGGCACACCCATGAAGATGTTGACGGCCTGTTCGGGCTGCTCACGAGCCATCTTTTTGCAGCCGGTGAGAGACTGCAAACAGTCCACGACTTCAGACGGCTGCTGGAAGCTCGAGTTGGCCCGGTGTTCGAAAACAGAGGTGAATTCCTCAAAGTCGTGTTGGTTGACAGAGTTCGGCCATGGAAGGCACTCATGCCAAAGGTCGCCACCCTGGACAATGCCTACCGGCCGAGGAAGAACGAAGTTGACCACATCAGTATACCAGAGCAAACTGTTAGCAAACAATTTCACATATGATATGACAATATACTTTATGCATGATGCTGGGACCTGTTCCTGTTGTCATTGTGAAGTTCCGAACGTTTCAGCGGTGGGCTCGCCACCGTCCACGCGCAGGATCGACGATGCATTGGACCAGGAGAATCCGAAGGTGGCCTTGGGACAACTGATCTTAGTGCCTCGACAGAGCGGTGAGCTGAGCGGAGCATAGCGGCATAGCGGAGCTAAGATTTGCCTACATGATGGCTGAGGTCTCTATATAAACTCATTGGTCGTTTGGAACCATGATTTTTTTTGACTTACGGTATATTGGGAATAGTAACCCCAACTGACTCTCATATTTTTCAGAGGCGTATAGGTATGCCACCAACCAGTAAACGTGTTTTTTTTTTTTTTTCGGAAACTTATTTTTGGGGCAAAAGAACGTTTTTTTTTTTATAATTTCGAAGAACACGTTTACATCAACTGATTTTCCTCAACCCATGGAATCTGTCAGCAGGTTGTGGCAACATCCTCATGTCTCACAATGTTCCCCATGTTAGTTAACGTCAACATCAACATTTGAACGTTGGGTTGTGTTTTCTTCAACACTTGCCATTGAACAATATTTCATATAATCCTTTCCCCGCAATATTAAACATCACCCCAGAAACCATGGTTTAGTCAGGGATTTCCACATAATTGAGACCATTTAGGGGGTGTTTAATATAAGGGGGATTGGATTAATTTATTCTGTTCGTCAGTTCAAACGCTTCATAGGGCCATATGTTTCTCTCTGAAAATCGGCATACCCACAAATTGCCATCCTTAATCATCATGTTCCCGATTGAATACGACCATTTGAGGATATACAATATCCCATTTACAGTCACGCCCAAATACCGTGTCAAGTTGCTTATGTCTATTCCATTGTACCACCATTATATTACATTTGAATGGCCATTTCCAGTCATACCCAAGTGGATCTTATTGGTTATATTCCATCATATCCCCACTATATTTATCACCGTTTTGCCATGTATTATCCTACTTAGATCTCCAGTTTCGATGGTCATCCCCTGTTTTGATCTGTTTTGTTTCCCCTAATTCCCGTTATACACAATTTTATCACCACAAAACAGTCAGTTTGACCTATATAAATACACCAGTAAACCAGTATATCCCCATATATCCCCATCTATCCGCATGAAAATTATAGACATCCCCAGTATGTCCGAATGTAGTCGGCTCATTGCTGGCTATACAGACGTTTTTGACATCGTTGCATCCCAGTCCCGAGGAAGTCGCACGGGATGCCCGCGACGCGTTGTTGGAGATGCGCTTCACTGAGCTGAAACAGTCGCTTGGAGCTGCAGGTGTGGATTTTTTCGGCGGACCCGCGAGGGGTCCGGGATGGGGATGGGGAGTTGACTCAATGACCATCCAAAATGTTGGGATTTCATCGGATTTCATGGGATTTTATGGGATTTCATGGGATTTAGCTCGTAAAAAATGGAGATTTACAGTGTATTTGATTGAATTGTCTGATTACTGATAGCTTTAGGATTTTAGGTTGGTTTATTTGCCTAGGTAGGTTCTGTGGCTTTTGCTTTTGGCAGGCACATATCCAACTAGATAGTGGGCGTTTATAAACCAACATGTAACTGGGGGGCAAAAACTTTTAGTAAAACTAAAAGTATCGTCTGGATTTAAGATCGATAAGTAAAGATCGACCAAGAATTATGTCTGAAGATTATGACAAGCTTACAACCATTTCACAATCATCTCAACTTAAATGTTGATTAATGGGAACCAAACCCAACATGGCTTGGCTTAGGATCGGGTTTCTGACTCTACGAGATTAGAATCATATTTCCAGTTATGCTGAGGATGGTATGCCCAATGCCATTGTTTTCGCTTCGTTTTGGAATGCCTCATCATTCACTGGAGTGCCTCCCAAAACCGCTTGAATCGCAATCAAAGTCATCAGGGGCGATGGCTGGTTCCCGTGGTTCGTTTTGCGGTTCTGCATGACGATTCGTCGCGTTTCCAAAGAGATGTGGACGGTTCTGAGGGTTGAAGAACCAAGAAACCGTTGGCGTTTACCAACCAGAATAAGGGAACATGTTTTATAATACCCCATCATCTAGTTCGATATAGAATATGTAAAATTCGCTTACTGTCAACGCGTTGATAGGGAATTAAATCTTTAGCGTGAAATTTTCCCTGCCAAAAAGAAAATTTAGCCGCAGTTCCAAAACAATTTTATGCCCTTGCTCGACAGAGCATTGTACCAAAAGAAAAAGAACCTGCAAATTTATTTGCGATGAAATCCTCGGTGTTTACAAAGAACTTGAAGTGAACCTGTCGGATGTTTATCTTGTCCACTTGGTCAAGCAATGGTTTAACTTGCACTGATGTTTGTCAACATGTTTCTGAGTGATGTTGTTTTCACTTCAAGTGCCGTTTTTCATGTCAAGCTGGCCTGTCCCACCCTTTTGTTTTAATCCCACCCTGACCAGCTTGCCATTCATAACATGATCCTTGACTTCACAACCACTTGTGCAATGCATTACACCTGCTGCCTGTAGGACTTCCGACCTCAAATTGATTTAACACAGCTGACTTCTCTCTCTGACACCAGCAGTTTTGGCCAAAACTGCCGCACTGACCTCAATTTCGTGGACAACACATTCATGACCCTGGAAAGTATCGTCAGCCTCACAGCTGCTATCTCCATTGCCTTCAATTACCTGGAGCCCGTCCAGGCTGATTTGACTGTTGCGCAGACCATGCAAGAATCCCGCATCGCTGAGTTTGACCATATCATTACTGGCTGCAAAGCCCTGTTACAACAATGTGGCCGGCCCCGCTATTTGGAGTCAATTTGGCTCTTGTGGACACAGCTGAGCCAAAGCCTTTACATGATGGAACGCGCTCTCTGGCCAGAGCAGGCCCCAGAGACGCCCTTGCATATAGCTCTCCCTCCTGAAGCCCGGCCGCTCAGTGATATTTTACTTGATGTTTTCGACCCATAAACCATCGTTAAGTCACCTAGTTATATATAAACCAACTTAGCTAAGATTTTGTGGCCCCGCATGACCAGAAAGTTCGGGACCTGTTTCTGAGGCACGCTTACGGCATGGGCATCTCTCAGGACACCAGTTATGGATGGTACCGCGAAGTTGGGGATCTTTCATCAGCGAAAACATGGGTGAAGAAGTGGATTTGGTAAGGGAACCTATGGGACACGATGGGATTTTTTGTGGGAACATACGGTGATTTTTTTACTGTGACTATTTTTTTACGACATGGTGGAAGAAAATTTGGATTTCACGGGCAAACATGGGGATATCACTAGCCTTTGAGTATCTAAGATGAGGCCCCCAAGTTCTGTTTGTTGCTTAAGCAATCCATGGAAGTGTGGCGAGTTATTGGAGTTATCCAACACACGGGGCCCAGCTTGTACCAACGGAGCCACAGAACAGCAATTATAGCAATTTCTGGAAGATCCATGGGCCGAATGGAAGGATTACATGAGTACTTGAACAAAAAGGAGTGTTGGAGGTTTCAAATAATCTTGACCTGTAAATCAGTAGCATTGTCTGATGGATGAGTGGCATTTTGAAGGTTAGTTTGGTGAAACACAACAGAAACTTGCTGGACTGCACTAGATGATTGTCCCAGGTAAATCCATCAGAATCAATATCGTATGATCCATATTTGAAGGTAAATCATCCCCATAGGATCCATGGTGCTGCTATATATGGTAACATTTACCATCAATATACCCCAAATGTTAGCATATATACTATACATAGATCCTATGGGATCTATATCACATAGCTCTCTTAGTTTAGAGTTTAGAGGGTCAAACATCGAGCCGCGGCACATCGATGGTTTCACCAGGAGACGATTGAGGCGGCGGAGGATGCCGAGCAGCCCAAGGATGCCCAGTTGCAGATGGGCAGCAAAAATCCCAGAATCGACCAACCAAATCCAACCAACATATCATATCTGGGTTGTAACGACCGAATCCTCTCACTGGAATCATCGTTTTTTTGACCGGAAATCATCCCCTTTTATGGCCGAACTATTCAGGTTAGTGAAATATTAAAATTTAGTCAGACATATGGTAAATCCTCTACATACGGTGTTGAATTATGTGGATGATTTAAACTGTTGAACTATGGGGATTTTGCCCACCAAAATCTGCACAATCCCATGAGTTACAGTGTTGAATTACCATCCGGTAAACTAACACAAAAAAACAATATATCATGGGTAAATAAACTATGTCTATGGCCATTTTCAATAGCTATGTTAGTTTACCAGAGGGTATAGCACAAAACACCCTCTGGTAAACTAACATAACTATGGGAAATCACCTTTTTCATAGGTAAATCAACTATAAACAGCCATGTTCAATAGCTATGTCAAATTAGCAGAGGGTATGGTACGAATAGGAATCCCAACTGGTGCAGGATGGTTTGTGCATCCACAGTACGGAAGATGTAATATGGGAGTATATGTCAAGGGGTATCAAAGGATTTTTGAGTGGGGGTGTTTAAGGATGTCATCATGTTTTTTTGTTCTACCCAGAGGCAACATCCCTCACTGACAAGGTGAACAAGATTGACGAGTTGCACGCAGGGCCACATAGCGCATCCAAAAGCGCCAAAAGCACACCCACATCCAAAAAACAACAAAAATCCGAAAATTTATGCAAATCCGAAAAATCATCCGAAAAATGAGTGTACAGTTTGTACAGTATCAGTAGTTCAGAGCACGCTTGTAGTTGCTCTTCGGTGGCTCTTGATATTTCTAGCCCCTCCAAGAGGTTGTTGGTCCAAGGTCTTCACCTGGCGGCCCAGGATTGTTAGAAGCATGGCTTAGCCAATCTGAAGAACAGATATACTGTAGATGGCCATGTCAGTTGCCATATAATTCAGGCCTATTTTAGGGCTGTGTAAGGGGGGCCACCAAAATATGGCTTGATATTTGATCCCACAGGCTGGTAGCCACCAGTTATGTGAACGTTGGTTTATAAACCATAGTAACTACCCTCTTTTAATTTGACATAGCTATTGAACATTGCCATTCATAGTGAGTTCTCCCATAAAAATGGTGATGTTCCAGTTCGTTATGTAAACGTTTACCAGAGGGTATAGATATAAACCCCATAGACCCTAGCAGGATCTGATGAAAAACATGTGTCTACCTTGACCCGCTTAGCAGCGACAGTGGAATCACACAAGAAACTTGGTACAAGGTGGTGCCCCAGTTTGGAATCGCTAAGTTGGTGCAAATAACTTTAAAACTTTACTTAGGTTTATGGTAGATATATCGAACTAGTGAATGGTGTTTATAAACCAAGCTATAATGGGGGCACCACCTTGTAACATACTGACATACCAAACACACTTGTATTTTCACACCCCAGAAATTCCAAGCAGTGAAGAAATTCAATTGCTGTTTCACTCTGAATACATAAATCTTTTTGGCTAGGTGAACTCCCCAAACCAATACAACATCTACCCGCTACAAATTCAGGGGCATGAATGGGTTTGGCTGAAAATAGGGCTCCCCTTATTCCGGAGTTGTTAATAATCAGTTTCCCGCATTCCATCCTAAGTAGCAAATTTGGAGGTATAACCTCATTTTCAGACACATCCAAATCATATCAAGTTGCATGTATATCTCATTGTCTCCCAAACCACATTCCCATTATGTTGAGCCATACATAGAATAGCTATCCACGATAAAGAAAGTATAATAGCTGGACCAAGTATAATTCAGCTTATACCTGGACAATTAATCTGATCCCATTTGGTTGGTGGTTTGGAACTTTGGAACATTTATTTTTCCATATATTGGGAATGGGAATGTCATCATCCCAAAAGACTAATGTTTTTTTAGAGGGGTTGAAGCCACCAACCAGCCATTGTATCTCCACATAAACTAGCCCTCATGCCATGGAGGGTTTTCCAGAAGTCTATTGAAAGTTAGTGCAGAAAGCACAAACCATTTTTAGCATTTCATGTAGCATTTGATTTCATGTGCAGATAGATTTGCACGCATGTTCAACTGTCCAGATTTGCAGCACTGCAGCTGCCTTTTTTCCAGCTCAAATTCGAAGACTTTCGAGTCGCCGACGAAAAGAAGGAGAAGGTGCGATCTTTGGAGGACGAGGCTTGGATTTGGGCACCTGGTGTTTTCCAGGTTATGAGCCCAAGGAGGCCACTGAAGATCTCCTTTGGTTAGAAGTTTCAAAGAGGATTCAAAGGCAGAAATGGCAGATGTTAGGAGGAGAAAAGCCACCGCCCAAGAACTAGAACAGGGTCAGGAGGAGATCAGGTTGGCTGATGCAAGGTTTCGTAAGGAGGCTGTAGAGAGAGGTGAAAAGGCACTAGAGGATGGACCCGAAAAAGGGACTAGTGAAGAAGCTGAGGCTATGATGTCCCCACCCATTGAGGATAAGAGGGATAGTAACCCTAAGGGTACCCCAGCCAGAAGTCCAGACGAGGGTTCAGCCAGCAAGCCACTGCAGCCGCCCACTGATCCGCCACCTCAACCACCTGAGCTGGGTAACGGTGACACCTCCTACGGTTTGCGCGACCAGAAGATGAATGAGAATGTGGAATCAGGGTCTTTGACTGCGGAACGACCTCTGAGGAGCGAGATGGCAACTCCTGGAGGACCGATGTCAGAGGCTGCAACTCCAGGAGGGTTTTTGGGTCCACAAGTTCCGTTGTTTTCAGAAGAGCAGTTGCGGAATTTTGCATTCATTCATAGCCAAGCACCATGGCTGTACGGAAACCCACAGTCCATTTTCACTGGTTCTGTTCCGCGTCCTACGTTTTTGGATGTTGACGCCCCAAGAGTTGCGCAGAGTCAGATGGAAAGGGATGTGGAATTTTTGAAGTTTCAGATTGCTAGGGACAGAGATGAAAAGGAGGAATTCAGAAAACAGATCCAGTCGTTGACAGCAGAGAATCAACGGTTGAGGTCCAAGGTGAATGGTGATGAGAAAGTTTCCAAAGAAGAAGAACTTAGGTTTTCTACTCCTGAGGAACAGACTTCGAAGCCGAACTCAGGTCATCCGGAGGACGATCAAGACTGGCTGAGGCGACGAAGCACTGAGAAGACCGAAAGTTCCAAGGAGGCTGGCAGACCACCATTCCTCCCTGAGGCTGCAGAGTTCAAGGAGGCTGCAGACTTTAAGACCCCCAAGGAGGCTGAAAGACCCCCAAAAGGGAGGACTGAGGATCCAGAAGAAGGTGCACAGAAGCCGAGCTCTGGTCGAAGTGTGCCCCAGTCCGGTGAAGCCACGTTCACCGAAAAATCCATTGAGTTCATGATGATCATGATGGAAACCATGAAGGACTTGCAGAAGAAGGTCAGTGAGTCGAAGGAGGAATCAGGGATGGTTAGGGGCGTCGAGATTGTGAGAACCGGCGTTCCTGATCTGCCAATCCTACAACCCTGGACTCCGAGTCAAGGGCCTTTACAACTGGGAGATTGGCTGCTGACAGTGGAGCCAATTGCAGCTGATTTGTCAGCCACATCAGAGAAGTGGTGCGCATTGATGGTGAAGTCGGCGGAGGACTGGTATCAAAGACATATGGCCATGTCTCCATTGGACAGAGTTCAACACGATGTCAGACCACCGCAAGAGGTGAACTTGGAGAAATGGTCGAGATTGGAGCGACGGATGGCATCACTTCTTCTTCAAGCAGTTCCCGAAGTGGTGAAGGAGGAGCTGATTTCGGCCAGAAGATTGAGCGTTTTTGGGATTCTGACGCAGCTGTTGCTGACCTACTGCCCGGGCGGTGTGCTGGAGAAGCAAACATTGCTCCGCAGTTTGGAGGATCCTATGGAAGTTGCAACGATGGCCGAAGCTCCTTCAGCGATCAGAAGATGGCTTCGCTGGAAGTTGCGGTCTCAGGAGATAGGTGCTGTGACTCCGGACCCTGCACTCCTTCTCAAGGGTCTGAACAAACTTACCCGCAAGGTGCTGGAGTCCAACAAAGAACTTCAATTTCGGGTTAGCTTGGCCCGAAATTCCCTTGGAGTGGACACAAGACCTACCGACATCACCGTCAACCAGTTTGCAACACATCTCTTGGCGGAGGTGGAGCAGGTTTCCTTAGCAGAAAAAAGAGCTGCTTCCGTGGGGACAAAGGGCGATGTGAAGCTCAAGGCCATGGAGGTGGACAAAGGGAAAGGCAAAGGTAAAGACAGGCTGGAGGGTGACGAGAAGCAGAAGCCCAAATGCAAGTTTTACCTCACTGATGGAGGATGTCGGAAAGGAAAAGGATGTGGATTTAGCCATGATGTGAGAGATGAGAAGAGGCGTTGCTACACATGCGGCAGCGTGGATCACTTGTCTCCTTCCTGCACCAGATCGAGGGGCCCATCATCTGAGACGAGCCCTACCAAACCCAGAGTGGCAAAGGTCGAGGGGGAGGACAAGGGATCGTCAGGAAAGGATCCTGAAGTTAGCAGCCAAGCTAGCTCAGACAGTGCAGTGAAAGATCTTTTGGAGGAGGCGAACAAGATGCTGAGGTCTTTGTCGTCAAAACCATCTTCAAGCCAAGCGTCTTCTGGGGGAAGCACTCAGGAGGATGAGCGCAAAGATGTGATGGAAAGGCTTCAGTCAGCAGCAGTTGAAGGCCATGAAAGCTTTCAAGATGAGGAGATTGGCCACAGGAGCTGACGTGGGATTGGTTGATTCAGGGGCAACTCATGCACTTCGCCCTCGCAGAGATGGTGAGAATGTCCAGAAGTATCCACTGGTTGATGTTGGCCTAGCGGATGGAAGAGCTGTGAGACTACGCATGGCGCCTGGAGGATCAATGATTGCCCCTTCGCCGGCAATTGAGCCGATCGTGCCGATGGGACAGCTGACGGAGGTGCTGGGATGCCAGATTGTTTGGAGTCATGGAGAAATGCAGTTGAGGCATCCAGAAAAAGGGGACATTCCAATTCAGATGAAGGAGGGATGCCCACATCTTGCGAAGTCAACAGCATTGGATTTGATTGCGGAGATTGAAGATGCGAAGGTTGGTATACCAAAGACCCTTGGTGAATACGATGAGGAGGTGTGCTGGATGAAAAGATTGGTGGAACAACACCCAGTGCTGTCGTCTCTCCCAGAGTACATCAAGGAGAAACTTGTGGTCTGTCCACGAGAGTGGTCTGCCCTTCCTGGAAATCGTCATCAGCGGAAAAGGTGGCGACGGGATGGGATGATGGTTCATTTGTTTGCTGGACCTGATTCTGGTTTTACTTTGAAGAAGGCACTACGTCAGCTGGGTGGACCTGATGACAAGCTGCTGGAGGTGGATTTGAAGAGAGGTCCACACCACGATGTTATGACAGATGAGGGTGTCTATGCTGGCCTGATTCGAGCCGCGATTGAGTCCAAGGTTTTGGCTGTGGTGGCTGGTCCAAATTGCAGGACACGCAGCCTACTTCGTCATGTTCCAATTCCGGGGCAGCCCAACGCACCTCGCCCAATCAGGAGATGGGGTGGAGAAGAGTTTGGGGTGAAAGAGGCCACGGAGGAGGAGATTCAGAAGTTGCATGAGGATGATATCATGATGTGGCGATGCATTTTTCTTTTCATGCTGTCAACTTACATGAGAAGGGCGAGAAAGTTGGATGATTGGGTGGCGTTTGGACTTGAACAACCAGCGTCGCCAAGAGACTACATGCCAGAGGTTGTTAGTTTCTGGGACACCCAGGAGTGGAAGGCGATTGCGAGAGAGTTTGCCTTGGAAGAGATCACTTTCAAGCAGGGCGCTATGGGAGGAGCTTCTCCGAAGCCTACAACGTTTGGTGGAAACTTGGAGCTGAACGTGGATGTTTTCCAAAGAAGGAGTTTTGGGAGCCCTGTCAAGGTCTCGAGCTCAACTGATTTGTCAAGGTGGGCTCCGGGAGTGATGTCTATGGTGTCTTCAGCGCTGATTCAACAGGTATGTCAGTCTGGCATGAAACTGAAGTCCTTGACATGGGAGGAACATTTGGAGTTCAGACACGCTCCTTACCGACGTGACTGCAGAGTATGTCAGGAGAGCTCTCAACAGTGTGCCCCGCATCGTCGAGTTCACTGGCAGGTGTGCTGTCAATAGACACTGCTGGTCCACTGAAGCCAGCCTATGACTCCGGTGGAGCTATGGCACGGTATTTCCTTGTGGGTGCTTTGACATGGAGGGTGCCTAGAGGAACAGACAAGCTGAAGGATCCACCAGAAGAGGATCTCCCAGATGACGCTCCAATGATTGAAGCAGAAGGAGAAGATGGTGAAGTTCATGATGAGGTTCAGGATGGAGTTCCACCGGATGAGGACGGGTCGGGGAGAGGAGCCCTGGTCCAGCTCTCCGGTGAAGCGCCGGGTGATGAGAGGAGCCACCCTGGCGGGGTCCCTGATGAGGACGGGTCGGGGGGTGAACCCCTGGTCCAGCTCTCAGGTGAAGGAGCAGAGCCAGCTGAGCCGCTCCAGACCCATGGCCCTCCGACATTGGAGGAAGCCACTGAATTGCGAGTCTTTCGCATGGCCTTGCCGATGAAATCAAAGAAGGCAAGAGAAGTTGTGGCCACGGTGATGGAGTTTGTCTTGCGTTTGAGGTCAGAGGGGTATCACGTTGGGAGGATCCACTCAGACCAGGGCCACGAGTTTGCGGGTGAGTTCAGGAGGTGGGCATTGCAGCGTGGAATCTACCTGCCGAGAACGGCAGGTGATGATCCTCGTGGAAATGGAAGAGCGGAGGTTGCTGTGAAGGCCTTCAAGAATTACATTAGACGGACGCTGAGACAGGCGTCGGTGGATGCGAAATGGTGGCCCTGGGCACTACGATACTCCAATGAGGTTCAAAGGTGCATTCGAATGGGAACGAAGCCGGATTGGCCTAGATTCCTTCAAGAAGTGAGGGTGAGGAAAAGAACATGGAAGAAGGACGATTTGTCGTCACGTGTGGAGACAGTGCAGTATCTCTGCCCTTCCATTGAAAATCATGGCCATTGGATCTACAAGTCTGGTGAAGCTCCAAGGCTGACGAGGTACATCCTGGCGCCAACGACAGAGCCTGAGGATGACACGGTTTGGGTTGCAGTTGAACGTGAGGGCCGAGATGCTCAGGAGCAGAGGAGGAGGATCAGAGGTAAGTCCACCTTGAGAAAGATGGATGCTTCCTTGATGAGTTCCGAAGAAGTTGAAGAAGAGGAAAAGAAGATTGAAGTTCGAAGGGTGATGAAGTTGGTTGAGGAGGAAATGCAGACTCTCATCAACGAGGACCCTGAGATTGCAGCAGACGAGGTCCGAATTTTGGGACGCTTGAGAAAGATGGTGGAGGAACAGGGGGAGAATGAAGAGATTTTGCAGACCAAGATCATCTCTCCCAAGGAGGTTCTTCGAAACTGGAGTGAATGGGAACCTTCCATCAGAAGTGAGGTGGAATCTTTGACGGTGGAGAAGTCAGCTCTGAAGCCTTTGACAAAGGCAGAAGTTGAGGAGTTGAAGCTTCAAGCGCAGAAAGAGGGAAAGAAGTTGGAAATCTTGCCTTCCAAGATGGTGTTTACGATCAAGCCAGGTGGGAAGTTGAAGAGCAGGTGGGTTGTCTGTGGGAACTATGAAGAGAAAAAGGAGGGGGAAGAGACCTACTCCACAGGCGCAGACGCGACCACTTTGCGTCTTTTGGTTTGGACGTCAACAAAGATGGGTTGGTGTGGATGCGTGCTTGATGTGCGCACAGCGTTTTTGAATGCTGAAATGGAGCAGTCGCCTGAGGAGGATTTGCTGCTGATTCAGGCTCCACATGTTTTGAGAGAGGCCAAGTTTTTGAAAGGAGAGGCACTTTTTCTGCCGTTGAGGGCGGTTTACGGGTTCCGAAGATCTCCAAGATTGTGGGGACTACACCGTGACCGAACCATGAGAGACATGAAGATTTCGGTCGTGTTGGATGGCAGAAAAGAGATGCTGGTCTTGAAACAGATGGAGTCGGAGCAGAATCTTTGGAAGGTGGTTGTTTTGAGAAAGGGCTTTCAAGAAGATTTGGAGGATGAGTTTGTCTCCAATGGCCGGGTGGTTGGACTGGTCATGACGTATGTGGATGACATCCTGATCACCGGCAGGAGGGAGGTCATGGAGTCAGTGACACAGCAGCTCCAACAGACCTGGAGCACCTCAGTTCCAGAAGAGATCGGAGAAAAGCCAGTCAGATTCCTGGGCATTGAGATCACCCGTTGTTTGGCAGAGGGGGAGGAGAGAATGCATTGGAGTCTGAATCAACAGGCTTACATCAGAGATCTTCTTGGAAGGTATGAGGATGGAGAGAAGGTGAGAAAGATTCCCATCACAAGGGATCAAGCTGCCATGAGTCAGGACGTGACCCCACCGACACCAGAAGGGGTCAAGTCATGTCAGAAGGTCATTGGAGAGCTGCTCTGGTTAGTCACTCGTACACGACCAGACCTGATGTTTGGAGTTTCAAGAATGGGCGCGAGTGTTCTCAAGTCCACTCATGCCATACAAGAGACAGCCAAGCAGATGAGGCTGTATTTGAAGGCCACTTTGGAAGAGGGATTGAGGTTTGAGGAAAGACCGGAAGACCCAATCAACCTGTACGTCTACTCAGACTCAAGCTTTGCCCCGGAGTCAGATGAGTCGCATGGGTCTTTCATTGTTTTGGCCAATGGAAGTTCAATGTTCTGGAGAAGTGGCCGCCAATCTGCGGTGACCTTGAGCACGGCAGAGTCGGAGCTCACGGAACTGGTGGAGGCGATGGTGGCGGGCGAGTCAGTCTATGCCATCATCTCGGAGTTGTTTGCCGAGGTCAACCGTATCGCACTTTGCGATTCTCAAGCTGCTTTGGCGATCCTTTTGGCAGAAGGAGGGAGCTGGCGCACCAGACATTTGCGCCTGCGTTGGTCATTTGCGAGGCAGGCAGTCTTGAGGGGTGATTGGCAGGTTGGTCACGTTCCTGGAGAGCGCATGATAGCAGACATCGGAACCAAAGCTCTGGCATCGACACGACTGGAGCTTCTCAAAGAAATGCTCGGCATGAAAAAGACTGGGCATGTGGAAGTTGAGGATGCAGGAAAGAATGAAGAGAAGGGGAAGAAGATCCCTTCACAGCCACAGGGACCAGAAGTTGCCACTTTGGCTTTGCGGCTGATCACTTTAGCAGCCACTTTGCAGATGTCAAAAGCCATGGATGATGAAGAGGAAGAATCTTCAGCCGAATTCAATCAGCTGATGATGATCTACACCATTTTGGTTGTGATGGCCACCTTGGGTCTTCAAGCTTTGTGGAAGGTAGGAGTAAGCTCAGCCTGCAGTAGCTTGAGGAATTGGTTGCTTGGCGGCGAGGGCCGAAGTCTCCCTGCGGAGCCTGAAGAACCTGAGGTCAGAAGGCCAAACATTGAGGAGTTGACGACATCAATGGGCCGCGCTGAGGACGGGTCGGGGAGAGGAGCCCTGGTCCAGCTCGCGCAGGCCGGCTGGAGGCACGCTGTAGGTTCCTACACTGTAGATGCTACAGCTGTGCCCGGCCTTGGTGGAGACCCACCACTGAGCCGCGCTGAGGACGGGTCGGGACAGAGGGTCCTGGTCCAGCTCGCGCAGGCTAGCCCAGGGCTTGCTGTAGAGGAGACAGCTTTGCCCGGGCCAACACAAAATGTGAGGAGCGACGCCTCACTTGGCCAAGCTGGCCCAAGCACAGAGCCGTCGTCAAGCTCTGGAAGTGGAGAGACATCAGATAGCATGGCTGAAAGAATCGAGGCCACCATCAGAATGATTGCAGAAGAAGAGGTTGAGCTGTGGAGAGAGTACGGAAGGATGGGCCATTTTCCGTACGTCAATGAAAATCATCAAGATGCAGACCTGGGCTTTGACGTGTTCAGGACACCATGTGGAACTGTTTATCATTCAACTCGGGCCTGCACCCAATTGAAGGGTCCGAGAACTGGATTTGCGAGAAAGTTTTCATGGTGTGAACTCTGTAAGGAGGTGGGAATGCGAACGCGAGGACGTCCACCACCAGGATCTCCACTGCTCTTGCTGACGTCGGGTCAGACTCTTCACACAGACGCCAGATGCCCGAGAACTGAAAACACCTCCGAATTTCGCGGGTGCATGTATTGCACTGATTTTCCAGGATAGGCAGTTTGAGCTTGTGACTGTGCCCTGACGGACCAGTCAAGGGGGAGTGCAGAAAGCACAAACCATTTTTAGCATTTCATGTAGCATTTGATTTCATGTGCAGATAGATTTGCACGCATGTTCAACTGTCCAGATTTGCAGCACTGCAGCTGCCTTTTTTCCAGCTCAAATTCGAAGACTTTCGAGTCGCCGACGAAAAGAAGGAGAAGGTGCGATCTTTGGAGGACGAGGCTTGGATTTGGGCACCTGGTGTTTTCCAGTTAGTATCCCAAAAATAGATCAAAATAGTCCAATGGTGCTACAGCTACGGCCCGAGTTATACCAGTTATAAGTACCAACAAAACCCCATCTATGGTTTATCTCTATAATATATGTATATATATATATACCTAATCCCATAGAAATAACCAGTTATAACCGTTTATAATTGGTAAATGGCCATACTGTACTATTTTTACTAGTCAGATTGATTGAGGGTCCCGCTTGATCTCCAAGTCCTTGGAGGAGCAGCTGATCCTAGCGATTTTCGCCAGCAAGAATGAGCCGCTTGGTGAGAGGTCGCCCCATCCTTGGGGCTATTTTGGATTCACCCAAGTTGTAAATATTGTCCATGATTCATCACTATGGATTGAGTTTATAACTAAGTTGGGTTAATATTGTGGATATACCTATATAGATCGCGGAAGTTAAGTCAGCAACAAGCATAACTTGAGAAAATCGAAGCGGTGTTCATGCAGGACAAGTAGGCAAGCACTACGTAAGATGCTACACCTATGATGAACAGCGGCTGAACAGCGTGACCAATTCATTGGCTTTCTTCGTCAGCATTCGCAGGTGGTTGAGCAGCCGGACAGATAGCAGCAGAAGAGCTGGAGGACGAAACGGATCCACCATGATCCACCAGGAGGTGCTGAAGTGGCCCACGGAGATGGCAGCATTCTTCCGGAGAACACAAAGGTGACCACCTTTGGGATTGGTTGGCTGAATCTTCTGGACAGTGGATCAGATCCACAATTGGTTGAGGGCAATGACCCGTCATGGTCCGATTGGTTTATGCACTGGGTTTTACTACCAAAAGTAAGGGGTGCATCATGAGTTGGACATTATATGATACTACAATTCCCTTTCACCAATGATTTTCAATAGACTTCTGCGTGGTCATGGTTGATTCACAAAATCTGGCATGTCCCCCCCCAAAAAACATATCCACGTCATTCATCATCCTACACCATCTTGAGAATGCCACGTCTTGCAGGAACAGGGTCAACAAAAGGAAACCTAGAAAACACACCAAACATAGGATTTGAAGACTATGAACATACATAAACAGGCATGAACTATCAAACAAACTACTAAATTACATGGAAACCTGGGGGCCCCTCATTTTTCACCCAAAAAAAAGCGTACGTCGTACCAGCTATCGCGCCAAGGGAACCTATGAGTTCCACACTTGGCGAGGCGGGAAGGTGTCAGAAATCAAACGTGGTGATGAAAAATCTGTTGAAAGCGATGTTTTTTTCATGGAAAAAGAACATCGATTTGATAACTGGTTGGTGGTTTGGAACAATTGTGTTTCCATCTATTGGGAATAATCATTCCAACTGACTAATATTTTTCAGAGGGGTTGAAACCACCAACCAGAATATGTTCGATCTTGCCATGTTTGATTACTGCAGAGCACCCACGTATGAATTACTTTGTTCCGGCCTGGGCAAGATGGGCTGTTCACTTGGGTACACCTGTTGGTACAGCCCAAAAGTGATGAACATGGGCATACAAAGTGGGGCCCCCTAGATAGCCAAGTTGGTTCATAAATCCAATAACTATGGTTTATGATAATTATAACTATAGTTCATGGTGTTTACAATCCAACTCATAACATTTTATAACTAGGGGGCCCCGCATTGTAAATATTTGTCGCAACGGGTATGAATCACAATGTGGCATGAAGCCTTGGAACTTTGCTAATCTGCAGTCTCTTGACTGCTAATTTTTGACATGCAACCTGCTATCTTGGGTAGCCAAGCGTCAACAGCAACAAATGCCGAAAGATGCCCTTCTCTGCATATGAATTTCGAGGGAACACAGTGTGAGGTTTGAAAGATTACGATTGTGAGGTATTCAAGAACGGAACAACAGGAACATTAATTTGACAATATTATGTGAGAATACATAGATTTACATATGTGTATATTATATATATATATGTACAACTACTTAAGATGATATACGCATACATTCATCTACACATAGATCAATCAAGCTGCAATATCTACATGTAGAACATACTTTTCTGAAATACATATATATGTATATACATGTCAAGAGCCTTACTCCTCTTAATTCCTTGCGGATGTTGCTACTTTGTCGTTCTCCTCTCCACACCAGGGTCATGTCATCACTCTTCGGTCGTGCCAGGGTTGGGTCGGCACCAGCGAGGACTGGGATAGCCACTGGCTTCGCAGCCGTAGCTATCAACCATTGATCTGTGGTATAATCATGTATAATCCATATGTATATATATATATAGTGACACACATATACATATATATATATAATACATACAAGGATATATATATATATATATATTGGTTGGTGGTCTGGAAGTTTGGAACATGTATCTTTCCATATATTGGGAATTTCATCATCCCAACTGACGAACAAATATTTTTTCAGAGGGGTAGGTATATATACACCCATAGGAAGATCCGAGGCCTGAAGGATCGAGTGGGGAGGATTTCTCGAGCGTTTTAACGGTTATAACCGTTACAAATGGAAGAGGTAATGGCAACTTATAGTTGGTTATAGTATATATATATAGTATATATGTATATATTATATCACTTAGATTAGGTTATAAACCACACACCGTAAGGCCATAACTGTAGGAAAGGATGTGGAATGCCTGAAATCACGTTTGGGTTCACCTGTTCAAGATTGCTCGCCCCGGTCGTCTGGTTGTCCGTATGTTTATTGGGGAACAGTTGTTTTGCAACCCAACTTGCGGGTACTGGCAAATCAGGACGGAACATATATTATTGTCTTGGGGCCCCCAGTTTGCAGGCTGGTTGGTGGTTTGGAACATGATTTTGTTTTTTTCCATAGATTGGGAATTTCATCATCCAGAAGCGATAGTTTTACCAACCAGTTGCAGGAGCTATTTCAATCCACCAACCAGCAGGTATCATCCAAACACACAGGAGCCGCCCGCCGAAGCGTACCGCGCACAGCAGCGCGCCCATCGTTCCGCAACGACCTCCGCCTCGCCGATGTTGGCGATGCCGCGGCAGGAGTGCCAGCTGCAGGGTGGACGTAGTCAATCTACAATGGGATGGGGGGATTCTTACTGGTTGGTGGTTTCAAACGTGAATTTTATTTGCCATAATATGATGGGGATAATCCTTCCCATTGACGAAGTTTTATTTTTCAAGATGGTTAAAACCACCAACCAGCTTAAAATATGAGATCCCGAATTGCCATGTTTTTTATTGATAAAAGTGTCTAATGACTTGGATGATTTAGGGGTACCCCCATTTTAGGACACCTCCAATTATAGCCCTCAACAGTTGTGGCCATGGGATGAAATGACTCCTGCAACTAGTTGGTTATATAGTATCACTTACATGTGGTTGCAAACCACTTATAACTTATAACTGTTAAGCGCTAAACCTGTATAGTCCGGAAATTCACGGGAAAAGCGAGATACCCTATGGATGACCATCAATTTCGTTTTGAATGGCCATACTTTCTCAGATGTATGTGACGTACACAAATCCCAACTGTTTTTTAAATTGCAACCAGCTTGAAGATCTTGCAAACTCATGGAGATCTTCACCCAAGAATGGAGGTTCGTCATCAACTTGAGAATTGAGGAAACAGGCAGTTCACTGGTGGTTATGACCCAAAAACGTCAACAAGTATCTTACAACCAAGGTGGAGCTGCGAAGCAGTTCAAGAAAAAACAAAACGAGCTGAAGAAGTGGCAGAGAAAAATGCTCCACCTGGAGCAGATCCCTACAGCTGGTGACAAGGAGAGCCTCATAAAGGCCATCGAGGATGAGAAAACTGGGAAGACCAGGAGGCTTCAGGCCTGAAGGAGCAACCCACATCCTGTAGGGAAGAAGCAGTTTGTTTTTGGAACATTTTGCTCATTGTTGTCGTTTGTGTTCCTCAGTTTTGAGCTATATCCATCTTCGCATCTTGGAATTCCTACTTCCTGCGATGTGCATCTTGGAAAGCTAAGCGGCTAACCGCTAGCTGCCGTGGATCATTTCACGACAGCTTTGCGCTTGTTTTGCTCACCAATGTCGCGGTTGATTCCAAACACAATCAGAATGGCTTTTTGATCACCATCTCAACAATAGGAACACCATATATTATATTCTCTTGCATGGTATCTAAATAGCTAACCCCCTAGTTTTCTTTTTGGCGCAACAACGTTGCGGCGGATCTCCATCGACATCTGCGGATCCGGTGGCCCGACGTCCCAAATGAAATTTCCAGGGATTTCGGGCTGTTTTTGTGACTGGAACAGTAGATCATGATCATGATCTTTGTGGATATCTAAAAGATTCTAAAAGCCGATAAAGTCAGCCTGAGTCATTCAGTCCTTGCGAGGCCATTAACTCCCTGAATGGCAAGTGGCTCCAACAGTGTGGGGCTATGCTTAGAATGACTGCGCACCTAACCTGAGGTAGAACAAACAGCAGCGAACCTTTGGGGTTCTAGCAATCAAACATGGCAATGGGTAGTCACAATTTCAAAACAACGACTTAAAGTTTTGTCTATAAATTGAACAATCTCAATTAGTTTTCCTTTTCTAGGCGACCGTACTGGGGGCTACCCATCTTTGAAGGATACCCAGCCTCTCATGAAAATTCATTAATCATATACATCAACTATCAATCCTCTTGTGTTACGATATATGGACTGTCAACACGGTAACCAAATGCCAAATATATCAACTATCAATCAGCCTCTTATTAATCCCCATGGATTGCCATGGATTGTTGAAATTTCTCAAATATGAACCCCCTTCAAGTAATGGTATATCCTCCACAAATATCAACCATATCAACCATAATTTCTATCCCATAGGATCCATGTATGATATATATGCTAACATTTGGGGTATATTGATGGGATCCATGTTACCATCTATAGCAGCACCATGGATCCTATGGGTATATAGTTGAGACATTTCCAATATCAACCATAATCAGCCTCCCCATATCCTCCATATGTCATGGTCCACTAGGACTTGGAGGTGAGTCCTGGACCCCATCGATTGGGTTCCTTGGCGCGCGCGCGCGGGTCCTGTACGTTGACTTGGGAAAAGCCTACAGTTATGGTCATGACTATCAGTTATAACTGGTTATTTCTATGGGATTATATATTCTATTTCTATGTGGTTAGTACTTATAATTGGTATTTCGGGCCATAACTGTATGAAATGAAGACATTCAGTGAACTTAGTGACAATCTGATACAATGTCTATGTTTATGTAATGGTAATGTTTCAATACTGAGATGTTCCAATACTGGTTGGTGGTTTCAAACATGAATGGATTATTGTCCATAATATATGAGATGTCATCCTTCCCATCGACTACTTTCATATTTTTCAATATAGTTATTGCACCACCAACCAGCATTTATTTAGTGAATTTAGAGACAATCTGATACAATATGTATGTTTATGTAATCTTTACGAAGCCCCAAAGATAGGACAGTGATTTCGCACTATTTGAGTAGCATTTTATCTTTCCATCATTTTGGGGATTGCTGTAAGATATTGTAATTTTGATAGTAATTCTCGAACTATCCCTATGGATCCACCATGATTCAGCCATACCTGAGAAGGTATGCTAACAATTTAATCTAGAATATAATGTATATATTTATATACAGTAATTTATGTTATATTTATAGTTATGCTATTTCTTAGGCCCCAAAGATAGAAAATTCAATTCCGCCTCTAAGATGATTTTGAAGATAAATAGAATGTGTCTATTGTTTGGAGGATTATTATCATACATGAAGACATGAAACCAGTTGCAACAGAATTTCATGTTGGGGTCCAGCTGTGTGCTCGGCACCATGGGGCTCCAGGTGCTAGACACTTCAATGCAAGATGTTTTTTGTTTCCCCCATTTTGACTTAATCAGTAATGATATGTGTCTGACACTATAGGGAATCCCCATGGATAGCGCCAAAAATTGCCGTTTGTCCAAGAGGTATCATCATTCCATCCATTTCCTCATGGTATATCAATGTATATCAATTGACTAGGGAATAGCACCCACTGCTGAGTGGATACCACCAATTTGGTGAAATGATGAAGTGGATGGAATGGGTGTGACCTACTGAGGCCCAGGGGCATTTGGCTTGGCTTGGTGGTCGCTTGGTCCTATGGATGGCTATGGCTATGGATGTCCAAACGGCCCATAGTGTTTTTGAATTCGACTTGGAATTATTTCATCCTTTGTTGATTATTAGTGTTGCCTACCCTCGAAGTCTGGTTTTGACATGATACACATATATATATAATTTGAAATAGTTTCTGAAAATTGTTCATTAGTTGATTTACCGAACTTAAAAATTGTGATGTTCCAGTTCGCTATCTAAACGTTAACGTTGGGGGTATAGGTTAGGTCGTTTGATAAATCCAATCCATAAACCACCAGCTTCTAGCAGAGTTGAACGTGGATCCTGTGAACTTGTGGGGGAAAAAGGTTTTCGAGCAACAAACACAATAAGACTTTCCCTGCAAAGATTGTCCCCTTTACCATGGTGGTTAATAGTGATATTAATAGTGGTTAATAGGGTATAAACCAACAACAATGGGAATATGATGGTGAACTGGTTGGTGGTTTCAAATATGAATGGATTATATTCCATAGTATCTGGGACAATCCTTCCCATCGACTACTGTAATATGTTGCAAAATGGTTAAAACCACCAACCAGTTCTTATGTTTTGTTTAGTTGTTTTTGTTTTTTCGAGTTTCCACTTTTGTTGATCCCAGAAAAGTGCATTCTTAGGCTTGCAAAGATGGGTCGATATTTTTTTTCATTCAGGACTTTCAGGCTCAATGCTGACGTTATTTTCAACGAGGAGATCCAGTGCTAAACCAGGAAGTTTGTCCCAGTATTCATGAATAGCATGGCTTGATTTTCCAAGCAGGAAGGCCTAAGGAACAGTGTTTGGCACTTCCTCAGAGCCAACATCTTTTTGAGTGTTTTTGGATGTTTGCGGTGTCTGTGGATTTAGCATGATTTAACAGATGAATCCCTGAAATCACTGAAACGTTTCTTTCGCGGAATCAACCGTCCACCAGGTGTTTGATGTTGTCCATCCGCTCTGAGGTATTTGAAAGCCGAGGCGCCGGTGCGAAACCGACCCCTCAATGGACTGAGTTGTTTGTGTTGACAGGATGATGTATTCCACAATATGGGGCCCCTAGATAGCTAGGCTAAGTTGGTTATAGTTGGTTTTTAACTACAATAACTAGGGTTTATAGATGTTTATGGTCCTTTGACTGTAGTTTCATGGGGTTATAAACCAACTTATAACTAGGAGCCCCACATTGCACCATCCGATGCTTTCGAGAGGTAGCTACAAATACAAATTTGGTATCCTCCAGGTTGGACTAATTACCCTCCAGTAAACTAACAGAACTATGGAAAATCACCATGTTTTTTATGGGTAAATCCACTATAAATGGCCATTTTCAATAGCTATGTAACAAATTACCAGAGGATATTTGCTATAGATTTATATTTTGTTTGCGGCACCAGCAACAGGCTTCAACATTTGCTTGCCGTTGATCCAAAGGAAAAGTCCGCAATCGGTTTCTTTCAACGGGAGAAACAGATGTGATTGGCACCAGAACCTCAGGATGTGCTGGGAAGTGGACCACTGCAGCACTGGGATGATAGGTAGACATGTGAAGTGTGAGCGCTTACAGAGATCATGATGAACATGTATGAAACAGTGTTCAGAAGCCCTGTGGGTTGATAATGGTAGGGGTAAAAAAACTATTTTTACTCTTTGGGAAGTATCATCACGCATGAAATTTGAATCCCTATTGAACACAAGGTGGTGCCCCCCCAGTTATAAATGGGCTATAATCCCATTAACTATAGACATGTCACCTATAAACCATAGTTATTAGACTTATAAAGCAACTTGGCCAACTATGGGAAACCCCCCTGCAACCAGTACAAAAAAAAAAAATCAGGCTATATCAGTAGCTGAACCATGGCACCGGCACAGGAGGATGAAAGTGAAGACGACCCAGACAGCCGTCGCGGTCGCGGCCCTCCACACGAAGTTGCACCTCAAGTGGTTTCTCCGGTAGCTGGCACCCAGTGGATGAGATGCAATGTTGGTACATATACTCCTTAGGTGGTTTGACGGATTTTAGTTGGAATTTAATGGTGTCACCATTGATTAAGTGTGATTTTGTGGCTAACAAACCATTTTATGGGAATTTCAGGGGATATATCATATCAGTGATATATCCGACCATAACAAACTTAATATACCAATAAATACCCGGTCAGGTGGTTTCCCAGTTTGTTGGCTAAGATGTTGCTTTTTGCCTAGGTGGATTCTATTCTTGTGTCCCACTAGATAGTTGGGTTTACCCTTCCTAATGGCTGTCACTCAAAATCTGTTCCCCCCTATTGCTGTTGTTTGGATTTCCAGTCTTGTCGGGTATGTAAGTAGACTGCTCTGCATTGATCCACGGGTACAGTTCATTATGGGTTATGATATATTGGATACTGAAAATAACTATGCTGTAGGCTGTAGTACTATATTTGACCAACATTTGTGCGTTTGGGGGTGGATAATTAGTTGTTTCAGACTCATGATCAGAGGACGAGCCAGCATTTTTGTTTTAGTAGATGGTTGTTACGGATTCCAATTGTAGAATACACTAACACCAATCGAGAAGTTGTTAAACCCCAGACACAAAAATCATCAAAAATCAACCAGCAAATTATAGAAGGCGTTGGCTACTGCTCTTGGTTTCAACACAGCCAATACCAATATGTTTGATGGTTGGACTGCGTTTCCTCGCTGTTGAACGCCACGGGAATCCCCAAAACTGTATGTGAAATGGCACAGGATGAGGCCCCCAGTCGTTGTTGAGTGCAGTTGCCTTATAACTTATACTGGAAGTGACTGAATTAACTCTGGTTTACGGGAGATATAAACTGGTTGGTGGTTTGAACATGATTTTTACATGATTTTTCCATACGTAACAATCATCCCAATCTTCCCAATACTAGAGGGGTAGGGCTCAACCACCAACCATAACTGGGGGGCACCATCCAGCAAGGATTTCTGACAAAAGCCCTCTGAGTTGATTGGTTTGTTCTGTTGGATAACTACACTCATACTAACTGTTCACAAAATTCGGGGGTTGTTCAACTGCACATTTTAACAGTTGGTAACAGTTGGGGGTTATTCATACTAACAGTTTTTCAGTTGGATACTAATCTCTCATAACTGTTCACAAAATTCGGGGGTTATTTTCAGACAAAGCCACGTACCTGGACCATGGAGTGGTTAACCTGGTTGCTGCGTGAACCAAGCAATCAAATATACCACAATGTTTTTTTAGATACCATTTGGTAATCAGACATGGCTTGCTGGAAAATATCATGTTTATAGATGATATTCCCATTAAAACATGGACTGTAATCTATAAATAGATGGGAAACTATTACAAAGTTGGATTGAATTTCCATGAATTTCTCATTTATATAAATATATAATTTATACATTATGATATACTTCACCACATTTATTTGTGGATTTCCCAGCCAAGGCCGCGACCGCCACGGCCTTGCCTGTGGGGCAGCGTCCTTTGCCGAGCTCGCACCGAAGTCCACCGGAGGTGCTGATGACTGATTTGCAGCTTTGGCCCTGAACAGCTTTAAATGGGTTTATAATGATATTATGTAATGGTTACCCTCCAGTAAATTAACAGTTGGACCCTGAAAATCATCAATTTTAATGGAAACTAGTCTTCCAACCCCGATGACTGCCAGGGTCTATGTTAATTTACCAGAGGGTAATGTTTGGTCCATAGTGTGGTTAATGTGATTGGTTATTCAAGGTTTTATGGTGGTTATAATGTGGTTAAAACAATGTCATAAACCACCCATTTGGGAATGGTTTATATGAACATGGTGATGACTGGGGGATGGTTTATGATTGTTTTATCCACACTATAAGCTTTGTTCTAGGAGTTATAATTCCATTTATATTTGTTAGTTGGGCCATGTGGGGATTTGGAGATCTTGGGGTTTCTTGTGATCGAGTTTTTCAATGGGGACATTTTGCAGGAGAAAAACATGGTAAAACCAAGAATACTCTCTGGTAATTTAACGTAGCTATTGAAAATGGCCATTTATAGTGAGTTTTCCCATTAAAGACGGTGATTTTCCATAGCTATGTTAGTTTACCAGAGGGCAATGGATGGTGAATGGAGAGTTCAAGGATTATTCAGGATCCATTTCACAGACAAGCTCTCAGAGGTGATTACCACGTTTTGGCCCTAGAAAAAAATGTGGCTCACGAATGCTTACAACCTCCATTTAGTGATATCTTTCACCAGTTGCAGGAGTTATTTCATATCATTTATAACTGTTGAGGGCTATAACTGGAAATATTGGATTTATAGGGATACATGGTGATATAATGGGGATATCATAGAGCTAGAGGTGACCATTCAATGTATTAAATTGGTTAATTCATTTGTAACAGTTAAGGGCTAAAATTGTCAAGGTTTCTCTTGTGAAGGTCCTTAAGGTGCACCTAAAGAAGCAGCTTCTAAGGCTGGCGTGGAAAACCTGCTGGACTAGGGTGAAAGTGAAATGCTGGCGGTGGGGAGAAAACACATATGGGGGTTTCCAGAAATGGGTGTACCCCAATAGCTGGATGGTTTATTTCATGGAAAATCTATCTATAAATGGATGATTCAGGGGTACTCGCATTTTAGGAGACCTCCATATCAAAGATTTGCTGGCCGAATAGTGATCAGCTTTGATTTCCAAAATTTGAGATGCAAACGCACGGCGATTGCTGCAATTTTGTCAGAAAAGTTTGCCCAGCTTGGAAGATTTCTCCACAGTCCAAAACCAGAAACGAAGATTGCCGAGACGGGAATGCGCCCAGTCTGGGCTCTCGGCAGTGACGAAAGCTCATCTGGTTGCTGGTTTGGAACCATGGAATTTTATGTTTCCATATATTGGGAATAATAACCCCAACTGACGAACTCATATTTTTCAGACCCATATGCTCCATGTATAGTATATTTACCTACATTTGGGTGATTATTAGGGCAAATGTAGGTAAATATACTATACATGGAGCATATGGGAGAGGGGTAGGTATACCACCAACCAGTCATGTTCTTGGATTTTGGGTTTCATCACAAGGTCACCCACCTCAGTGGTTTCCAGCTGAGTCTGTCAGTTTGAGTCACTAGAAGCGTGTCGATGCAAAAAAACACACTAGTAGACCTAAATATGGGGTAGGTGTTGGCCTTTAAACCTTCCATACTTCTGGGTAAATTATAACGACCGCACTGTTCTCACTGGAATTATAATGTATAAGGGAAATCATCCCAAATGGCCGAACTATTCAGGTTAGTGAATTATTGTAATTTACCCAGATACTTGATATTAATGTGAGATTGGTTCTATTAAATCGCCATGATACACATGGCTTTGTCTCAATACAAAGGACCCCAAATGTGATCGTCAGGAGGGTCTACCCCACAAGACACCCAAATTGGAATATGATTGGGCATATCCGATTATACCCTCTGGTAAACTAACATAGCCATTGAAAATTGCCATTTACAATAAAATTTCCCATTAAAAATGGTGATTTTCCATAGTTATGTTAGTTTACCAGAGGGTATCTATATCCCCATGTTATCTCCATTTTATCCCAAGGTTCTCAATACATGGAAGTGCATTTCCACTTGAAAAAGTGGCTATAGTTCACCATAGTTATGCGGGCCCCACATCCCAACAAACATGGGGGTTTACTTCCCCATGGTTTTGTCGCCATTTGTTCATCTGAACTGCACCCCCATGTAGGTTGTACCCCATTGTATGCATTTATATCCCATTATATCCCATCTAGTCTCTTTTAGACCCCATTACATCATATTAAACCACCATTAAACCCCATTATTGGTGATATTCCATTAAATCATTGGTGATATCCCATTATCTTGACCAACGTTCATGGTTAGTTCATCCCAATTTGAGCCATATATATGTGTTTCCATCGCAGCTTCGTACAACCCTTTCGCATGCTTCACCCAGATCAGCTTCGAAGACGCCGGGTGCGCTGGCCTGGACCGGGCCCGAAGTTGCGGATGCATATGGTAGATAGCCAAGGTTTATGGCAGAGATCTCTATATAGTAAACCAACAAAAAGATGGAAACACATCCTACCATAGTGACGGAATGTGATGAAACTGCGTTTTTTGTTCTATCTTCTTGGGGGCTACTATAGTGATAAACCAACAAACATAACTGGGGGGGAACCAACTTGTATGGGTTTGTCTCATGATGTGTTGTCTCAGGTTTTTACTACAAAAAAACATGCATTTAAATTTAAAGTTTAGTTGGATCAAGCATTTTGACCATTCCTACCCAAGTTTGAGACATACTCAATTTTGGTACTGGTTTTTGAACATATCCACAAGCAAGAGTGACGCTTTACGTTTTCGGTTTTGCAGAATGTATTGTTGGCTTTGGCCAAAGAATATGTTTGTTTCAAATACATTGAAATAGTTGAGTATCCCTCAGCATGTTTTGAGTCCTCGTAGCTGCTTTTTGGTGAAGCCGGTTTTGGTAACCCAAGATGAGCAACGCCCACTACATCCCCAGCGGTCAGTTTTTTTTCTTATATGTTATTGGGGTTTGTGGTTTTGCAGACCCTTTTTTTGTTGAATTCCAATGTACTGCTAAGTTGCTGTTTATGGGTGACATTCCACCCCTTGTGCAACATGACCAAGACAACTCTGATTTGTCCCCAAAATTGGTTGAATTGAAGGGAGCATCTGCAGAAAACTCTACATGTGGATGTAGGAACCATGTTTTCAATTGCAATCAAGTTACCCTAAACTAATATAGATGTGGAACATGTTCCATGTATAGTTTTTTTTACCTACAGAAAACGAATTGTTTCTTGTAGATTCTGTGCAACCATTGTCGTCATCCAGATGCCAACCCAACCTGAATCTAATGACACCTATCCTATGGTGTTGTGTTGGCTAAAACACCCGCTTTTCAGAGCAACATGCGCATTGTTGAGTAAAAACATACTAAGTTCCTTTGAGAATCTATATGATCCAATGTCATGCGCTTAGCCAATAGAACATGTCCAAGATCAAGGGTCGGCAGCAGTAAACAAGTAGTGGGCAGCAACAAAAGAGCAACTCCACTTGCTACCTCAAAATTAGAGTGACCAGAAACGAGGATCATTTTAATCATGTTCATGATTAGCAGATCTCCTGTGCAGCTGATGGGATGCTTTCTGAAGCGTCTGAACATCATCAAAATAGCTTTAACAAAAAATAAAGAAACTATCTCGTGTTCACAGTGTAGCAACAGGGGGAAAACATACCCTGCGGTAAATGAAGGTTTCAATGGGAAAATCATCTATAGAAGTTGAGTTTTCCATTTCCATGTTTGATGACGAGAAGGTAGGAAGATTTAACAACCATCAAGTATATATACATAGTATATATTTTTGAAATAAGCTTCAATATTGCTGAACTGTTAAAAACACTTGCATGTTAACAGCCATGATATTATTACTCTCTGTGAATTTAACATAGCTATTGAACATTGCCCATTTATAGCTGAATTTACCTATTGAAAATTTGTGATTTTCCATATATGTTTGTATGTTTACCAAGAGGGTATTGATCCATACAGATGACTATAATCATTGTATATCAACTATTATTTTACTAATATATATATATATATATATATTTATTTATATATCAAACATTTTGGATTAGTAGTTTACCATGATTCTGGATTATTTTACCCTGATTATACTAATATACCAGTATTTTCATTATACACATTTAATTTTAATATTGTTGCTAATCCAGAATTATCATTGTTAACATATTTGTAAATATAATTCTGAATTTTAAGTTTCGGTTTGTTTGTATATTTGCCCCCGTGTTTCTTCTAGCATAAAACCCCCGTGTTCTCCTCCAAGGCGCATGCCGCAGCACTTGTGGCCTTGGATTGCCTTGCACGCTCCCTTGAAGCCACCGCAAAGGATGACCCGTGGGGGCGGCGACGTAGATGTTGTCCCGGTGTTGGGGATTGGATCCTTAAAAAAACACAGGGAAAAGATGGAAAACCATGGGATTTAAGTAGCAAAAAATGGAGATTAGATAGTTGATTCACTATTGTGATAGCTAAGTTGGAAAACTTGACTCCAAATCACTTCATGGTAGGTCTATCGAACTAGTATGAACATGTATGAACTAGTAATGGTGCTTATTGACCAAGAAGCATACTGCGGGGCACCACCTTGTATGGGGCACATTATGAAGGGAGTGATGCCTGAGAGTTATTTGGTTATTTTCGATTTGACTACACATATCAACCTGCAAACCCACAACGTAAAAGTTGAAGCAGTTGGTCTTTTTGCAAAGAAACAAAGGCATTCATGCAGGGCCCAAAAACCAAGACGACCAAATATGTTTCAGCAAGGACGCATTCGTTCAACAAAGATCCTGTTTAAGGCGTCATATTCCCTCGGGACTTCTCCTTTCACCCCTGTCTGGCTACGTACAATTTAGATTGATGTGGAGGTCCCAAACCTATTGCACAACGAAACTGCATGCCAGCACGCAGCCTTGCGCATGCTGCGTGCTAAAACATCTAAACTCAAGGATCTTGAAAGCAGTGAGATACGTTCAAAGTCCTTTGTGCTGCACTGCAGCAGTTCCGGCAAGATCCTGAAAGGTAGAAAAATGGAGGTGAACTGAACATTTACATTTGGATTGGATACATTCCTGAAATCAAATATAGCAACATAAAATTGTATAGTGATTTTGACAAGTTTTCTCCTCAAACTGGGATCTTTCCGTCGCTATGTTTGATCTTCAGGGGGCAATTCACTTAGAATTTTCAGGTTTTGCATGTGCCATCCAAAAAAAGGGCAACACCAAAAATAGACTCCCGGATTGAGAGATCCAGTTTTCCGTCTAGCAACTAAGCATGGCAATGGGAAATTGCACCATTTGTACAAGGTGGGGCCCCAATCCAAGTTCACTGCATGGGGTTTATGGTCATTATAACTCATAAGGTTCATGGGTTTTATAAACCAACTTACAAGTCGGGGCCCCACCTTGTATCCATTTCTGATAATTTATGCATCTTGGAGGGGTTTCCCATCGCCATCTATGTTGACTCGAAAGTATTCCTTCCATTTCTGGGCCTTCACCCGGGTGAAATGATGCGTGCCATTAGGCAACCTGGCAATGGAGGATTCACTATTTTCACCTGTTGATATGTATATGTGTATTCTGGTTGGTGGTTTGGAACATGCATGTTATGACTTTCCATATATTGAGAATTTCATCATCCCACCTGACGAACTCATATTTTTCAGAGGGGTAGGTATACCACCAACCAGTATTTGTATGATGACGTTTTTTTTTACATGTACATATCCAGAAGTTTGTCATGTCTATTGATAGATTGTGTGTTTCAATATGTTTGCACCATTTTTGCGTACAAAATGATAATTCTCCAGAGAACCATCTTAGATTATCTGCGGGGTGACCACTTGACAGTAGATTGGAATTCAGGAGAAAGCTGGCTGTGTCTCGATTGCAATCTGACGCTGTGCTGGTGTAGTTAGTATTGCATTGGGTGCATGATTTATGGATTGCGATTGATCTGCTGTCCCTGCCTCTTTTGAACTGGAACTAGGAGTGTCAAGTCAAAGGGCTTGTCTCAAAATCGGAGGGGACCAAAATGTCTGTTTTTGATTTGTGTTGATGTGGAAAATTATGATTTACCATTGGATTTTGATAGGTTTTGGGGCTCGAAATATTGAGACACCATTTGGATCTACATGTAGTTAGGAGTCCATTGTCTCCGCACTATTGCACCTTTTTACTAGACAGCTGGCTATGAACGGATAGATTTGCGGATAGCACCAGCTGTGATATCCCATTTGTATGGGGTACCATGGGATACCTGTGCGCAGATGTGTGCAGCATTTTTTCTTGCAACTGGGCTAAAGAGTGTTGCGGAA